ATGGGGTGACAACAACCATTATGGGGTGACAGTGGGGTCTATGGGGTGACAGTGGGGTTTGTGGGGTGACAGTGGGGTCTATAGGGTGACAGTGGGGTCTATGGGGTGACAATAACCATTATGGGGTGACAGTGGGGTCTAAAGGGTGACAATGGGGTCTGTGGGGTGACAGTGAGGTCTATGGGGTGACAGTGGGGTCTATAGGGTGACAATGGGGTCTATAGGGTGACAGTGGGGTCTATAGGGTGACAGTGGGGTCTGTGGGGTGACAATAACCATTATGGGGTGACAGTGGGGTCTGTGGGGTGACAATGGGGTCTATGGGGTGACAGTGAGGTCTATGGGGTGACTGTGGGGTCTATAGGGTGACAATGGGGTCTATAGGGTGACAGTGGAGTCTATAGGGTGACAGTGGGGTCTATAGGGTGACAGTGGGGTCTGTGAGGTGATAGTGGGATCTTAGGGTGACGATGGCTCTATAGGGTGACAACAGGTTCTATGGGGTGACAGTGACCACTATGGGGTGACAATGGCTGTATAGGGTGACAATAGGTTCTATGGGGCCGCAATAGGTTCTATGGGGTGACAGTGGCTCTATAGGGCCGCAATAGGTTCTATGGGGCCGCAAATAGGTTCTATGGGGTGACAATAGGTTCTATGGGGTGACAATGGCTCTATAGGGCCACAATAGGTTCTATGGGGCCGCAATCGGTTCTATGGGGTGACAATGGCTCTATAGGGCCGCAAATAGTTTCTATGGGGTAACAATGGCTGTATGGGGCTGCAATAGGTTCTATGGGGCCGCAATAGGTTCTATAGGGCCACAATAGGTTCTACGGGGCCACTATAGGCTCTATAGGGCCGCAATAGGTTCTATGGGGTGGCAGTGGCTCTATGGGGTAACAGCGGGTTCTATGGGGCCGCAATCGGTTCTATAGGGTGACAATGGCTCTATAGGGCCGCAATAGGTTCTATTGGGCCACTATAGGCTCTATAGGGCCGCAATAGGTTCTATGGGGTGGCAGTGGCTCTATGGGGTAACAACGGGTTCTATGGGGCCGCAATAGGTTCTATGGGGTGACAATGGCTCTATAGGGCCGCAATAGGTTCTATGGGGCTGCAGTAGGTTCTATAGGGCCACAATAGGTTCTATGGGGTGGCAGTGGCTCTATGGGGTAACAACGGGTTCTATGGGGCCGCAATAGGTTCTATGGGGTGGCAATGGCTCTATAGGGCCACAATAGGTTCTATGGGGCCGCAATAGGTTCTATGGGGTGACAATGGCTCTATAGGGCCGCAATAAGTTCTATGGGACCGCAATAGGTTCTATGGGGCCACTATAGGCTCTATAGGGCCGCAATAGGTTCTATGGGGTGACGATGGCTCTATAGGGCTACAATAGGTTCTATGGGGCCGCAATAGGTTCTATGGGGTGGCAATGGCTCTATGGGGCTGCAATAGGTTCTATGGGGCCACTATAGGCTCTATAGGGCCGCAATAGGTTCTATGGGGTGACAACGGCTCTATAGGGCCACAATAGGTTCTATGGGGCTGCAGTAGGTTCTATAGGGCCGCAATAGGTTCTATGGGGTGACGATGGCTCTATGGGGCCACAATAGGTTCTATGGGGCCACTATAGGTTCTACGGGGCCACTATAGGCTCTATAGGGCCGCAATAGGTTCTATGGGGTGACAATGGCTCTATAGGGCTACAATAGGTTCTATGGGGCCGCAATAGGTTCTATGGGGTGGCAATGGCTCTATAGGGCCACAATAGGTTCTATGGGGCTGCAGTAGGTTCTATGGGGCCACTATAGGCTCTATAGGGCCGCAATAGGTTCTGTAGGGTGACAATGGCTCTATAGGGCCGCAATAGGTTCTATAGGGTGACGATGCCTCTATGGGGTGCCAGCAGCGTCCGTGGGACGACAATACCCTTTATGGGT